TCTATGCATTGAGTGGACCGAATCTATCTGTAGACCGCATCCTTGGCCGTGCTGCCCATTGACTGGGAGCTCGCAGCCCTGGCCAGCTTGTGATGCCACTGCGTGGGGTTTCACGGTTGTGCTGTGTAGCTTTTCGGTGTGTTGAATAAGCCACCAGCATGTGGAGCGAAACGTCGGGCATCGTGCCAGACAAGACGCGGTGCGGCCCGCTACCGCTTTGCAGAGCTGTCATTATATTACGCAATTAAACTTCTCCGCTCTCAAGCAATTTGCACTTCCAGAGGGGACTGGAATATTTAATTGAAAATCCATATTTTAATTCCATTTCAGGTGAAATAAAAATTATTATACTGTACAGCTTGGACCACTGTGGCGTGTAATCCCAGAGTACCATCACAGTACCATTATCATAGTACCCTCCATGAGCGGAAGCTTGAGAGGACCCTCTAGAGGGTGTTTTGGCATACTCCTCCACTCTAGAATACCCACACTTTACCCCACCATGCGCGACCTGATGATATACCTAACTGCAGTGAACCCATTTGTTTCACTGCTGCTGGGTGGACAGAGGGGATGGGGGGGGGGGGTTTGAGAAACCTGCACCATTGCTTCAACTGCCGTGCTGGGAGATGGAATCAAACCGACGACCTCTGGATTGCAAGTCCAGTGTAGCAAACGTTACACCACAGGAGCATCCCTTGATTGATGATCGGAGGGTTTTGCGACTACACTCCGTCATCCGCCGATACAGAAACAGCCGCAGTTCCATTCCGGCTCCACATGCTCCTGGCACGTCGAGCGAAACGTTGGACAAACAGCACATAGCGGAGCAACTCTGAGCACATCGAGAGCTGTGTACGGCTCAAACCGCCAAAATCCCGCACAATAGAAATGTCAGCAGTTTAGCATTTGTCACGGGGCATTTTACAGGTCCCCTCAAAGACCCCGCAGCCCGCTGATGATGAGAGGGCCCTTTGTCCGGGTCCCATTCTCGGGTGCCGCTCGCCAGACCGGTACCGGCACGCACGGAGTGCACGGAGCATCGCGTCCCCTTTATTCGAGCAGCCTCTCGCAGCGGGGTGAGCGGACCGTGTCCGGGCCTGGGCGTGCGCCACGCGCTCCGGGTTCATTGCTGCCGACATCAAACGCTGGCTGCAGCAGCAGCAACGATGACAGCAGAAGAGCATCAGCGATGGCAGCAGCAGCAGCATCAGCGATGGCAGCAGCTGTGTGAAGCTGGGCACCGGCGTCTCGGTTCCTTCCCCTGGGCGCCCGGAGAGGCGACGTGGAGGATGAGGGATCCGGCAACTCCTCACGTCCATGCTTCCTTCTTCCCCAAGGTCAACACTGCACAGCCAGGAGAAGTTGTTTCTATTCTGTTCATGCGAATGGTAAGAAATGCTGCGTTAAACAAAACGGTGAGATGCAGCGATGAGATTGGCTCGTGTGCCGATGCCAAGTGGATCGTTACATCACAGCACCCGGAGAGATGGCAGCGGCTTGGGTAGACCTCCACGCAGCAGTCGATTGGTCACAGCTGATTTTGATGATGATGAATACTTGCAAATACATATGTGACGTACAATTGCACTACAATTAGAAATACTTTTTAACAAATCCTTGTCAATCCACCTGCTGTATGAAGGCCTTCCCACTCCTGTCGTCCAATGGGGGTTGTTTGACCATACTTCGCCATACCAGTCAATGCGTGTTGGTGAAGGGGGGCATGGCCGGGGCTGCTTCACAGGCGATGCGCTGCTGTTCGACCCCACAAATTGCACAACTCCCTCTGCTACTGGGAGTGAGCATGCAGAGTGAATAATGTAGACGACAATGCAATTTTGCGTGCGGTTTGATATTAGTGTCTGGGGCTTAGCGTGGGGCTGGGGAAAACGTGCGTTTTGTTGTGTTGAACGTTTTTTTTACGCATCAAAGCGTTGCACGCTCAAAGAATTCGACGGGGCCCGATAGAACTGATCCACGCGCCCTGCGCCATGATGTCGGTGCGAGGCGCCGATGGCTTTGGAGGTCGCGGAGCGGAGCTAGGGGAGCGTGGGGATGAGGTCGCGACCCTTCGTCCCGCGCCGTAGCGGAGGAGCCGTCAATGCTAGAGGCCCGGTTATTTCGCCTAGAGGGCGTTCCGTAGCGGATAATTTAGTCGGCGTCGGCGCGACCCGCGGCGTTCGCCGGAGACTGCCGGGAGCTGCGGGGCGGAGCGCCGTGGCCGTGACGGTCAGAGCGTCGCCGTGGCTCTGAATTTTATGAAATCGTCTTCTGCCGTACTTCTGTTGCGCTGGAGTGGATCGGTGACGTTTATCCGTTCGTCGAGGCTGCTGAGCGAGCCGGCGGACGGCTTCAAGGTGGAGCCGCACGGTGAATTTCTGGAGATGTGAAACGACATTGTCAGGAAACGTTGGGTGCTAAAGCGTGCTGATTATGATTGATAAGCGTAGGATGACAGGCCAGTGATGCAGTGTCCTAGACGTAACGTAATTTAAAAATAATCAAACCTTTACTTCGAGATAATACGTGAATATGTACATTGACAGTCCCTTCCTTGAACGGCCTTCGCGCGCGGGAGAGATTGTATCTGTTTGTGTCCGTACAAGGTTAAGTAAATGTCGTTGCGTGCAGCTGATTCGGGGGGCTACGATGGTGACTCTCATTGCTCACTGTTAATAAAACAGGTGGCGTGCGTGTGATTTATTTGGTACGTGTCAGCTCCTCGCTCTCAACGATAATTACGGAGGCAAATTCTTTGCTGCTGACGATTCTTATGAGCGCGGGGTCGACCGTCTCAGCGGCGTCCACGAGCCCAGACGAGGGAGAGAGACCAAAGTGGTTGGGACTGGATGCATCGCGCAGTCGGAGGTGAACCGTCGGGAGCTGCGGGAGCTGATCTCTGCGGTCAAGTGCGGCTGCTATCGCAGTAACGTTGCCCATGTACATTGAACTTCTTTCGCACTGTACATACATAATCGACTAGCATACAGTAGCTACCGAGCGTGCAGGCAGTGCAACTGCGCCCATTGCTCGTGGGCCGAGCCGCCCAGCGAGCGCCACCCGGAGCGGCGGGATCCGGACGGAAGGCCCCCGCGACCCTCCGCTGGGTCGCCCGTGGAGCCAGCGGCACCGCCAACTGTGACCCCAACCCGGCAAGCTGCCCAACCGCGGCGAGTGGAAACTGTTGACTGTGGTGGTGGTTGTGGTGGCGTTTCGCTGCACATGCTGATTAGCACGGTCGGCTACGTACGGTGCGAAGGAAGTTGAACATCCGTACATTTGATACAGTAAACGAAATGGGCCGCCCCGTCCAATAGACCCCGTCTACGTAGCCCGGCGCCTCGGCCACTCCAGCACATGGGCCCCCGTGCAGTCGCACCCCCTGTACACTTCACACCTGTGCCGCTGTGTGGTTGGACGCATTGATAAACTCCCGCTGTAAGCTGCGGGAATTTGCCTGATGGTCCTGCACGGCGTGCTATCTCTGTTTGCAGTTTCTCTTTTGGGGTAGTAAGTTGATTTTATCGTTTACATCTGCACGTAATGGCTCCTCGCTAAGGCATCGGTGTGAATGAAATTAAAAATAAAATTAGGAATGAAATTATAAATTGGCTATGTCGAACCGCCCTGCGGATGTGTCGGTGGCAGCGTGGCACGGCACCCGCCTTATGTGCACCGCGCACGAGTGCCGCTTTCCATTTTTGTTCCGCGCGGCGTCGAAGGAGAGAATGAGTCGCCGCGTGCGCCGCTCCTCCGTGCCGCTGCTGGAGAGAGAGGCGGAAGCGGCTCCTCGCAGACTGCGCTGGAAGTGGGCGCTCGGAGATGCGACGAGACCAAAGGGGCACCACGGTGGCTAGGAGATGTTAACTCCCTCGCCTGGTACGCAGGAGGTCGTGGGTTCGATCCCGACCCTGATGCTGCTGTATATTTGGAGTTTGTGGTGTCTCTCTCTCATCATCATCACGGTGGCTATGAGATGTTAACTCCCTCGCCTGGTACGCAGGAGGTCGTGGGTTCGATCCCGACCCTGATGCTGCTGTATATTTGGAGTTTGTGGTGTCTCTCTCTCATCATCATCACGGTGGCTATGAGATGTTAACTCCCTCGCCTGGTACGCAGGAGGTCGTGGGTTCGATCTCGACCCCGACGCCGATTTATATATTTTGAGTTTGCGTGTCTCTCTGCCCGTGGCCACGTGGATTTTCCGCCAGGTCCTGCGGTTTTTCCCTCCACATTTAGAATCAACGTTCGTTTGTAGTATTTGGCTACTATAAATTTCCACATGATGATAAGCCACTTCGTTGAGCTATCATTTGTGGCCAGGTCACTTCTGAAAATAACTACATAGCTCAATGGGCCCTACCTGCTAAAATAAAAATAGTTTAGTCTCAAAGTTGCGACTCAATACGGCCGTCCTCCACGTTGAATAAAACTGCGTGTGCGCCTGTGAGCTCTGGTGCCAGTGAGGTTTATCCGCCTGCCGTGGCCCCGCATGCATTGTGGACACTGACCCGAAGGTTGTTTTGAAATTACAAAATTACCCTGAGCACGCCCGGTCTCGTGAGATGTCTGCCACTGAGTCGGGTTGAGCCTGGTTAGTACTGTCTGGCAGTGCCACGCGTTGTAGGTGTGCGCTGTGCAGTAGCCGAGATGTGGATTCTTTGTGAATCCCTGGGGCTTTGAGCACTATCCCTTCACGGTTTCTCTGGATGCTCCGGTTTCCTCCCACATTCCAAACGATGATTAATGGAATTGTGCAAACATCTCAACGTAGTGCTGATAATCAGCGAGGCGTTTGTTTCTGGATAAACCAAATAATAATAATGATTCTTGCAAGTCTAACAATGATTTAAACACTTACTTGCTATTAATTCATGTTTCTTTTTGACCATTTGCATACGAACTTGCGGTGTTTTGTTGTAAAAAATGTCAGCTGTGCACGAAATGGAAACCCTGCGAGACGCGTCCACTCATCAGACCTGCACGTGTCTTCACAGCCTCCCGAGTGCCGTGCGGGGGAGCGAGCGATTGGCGCGGGGCGAAGAAGGCGTGGAGACGGTGGAAACGTGCGTGGAACGTGGCCACGGGTAACCGCGTCGCATCGCTTGGGTCGCTCCGTATGTCGTGCGGAGATGCGCGCCAAGTTTCCTCCTCTGCTTCGGATTCGTCGGGAGTTGTGACATCGCACTCTGCAAGGAGGAGGAGGGGGTCCTCTTTTGTGATTCCGATAAGGTTTTCCTTCCCTTGGAAACAGCTCCGTTGTTGGGGACGTCCGGAATGAACTGCGTCCACCTAGGGACCCAAGTCGAGTCCCTGGTACAGGTCCCGTAGCGTGGGTCCTGCTGCAAGCGATGAAACGGGGCCCAAAACGTCCAATTCCCATCCGGCCCGTGTGCCCCGGTGCAGCTACACCGCCTGCACACTCGCTGGCTACAGAACCGGTAGCACAATGGTAGATGATTCGGCCATTCCAATAAAGCTTCTCATAGACTAAACGCGGTACTAATTGCACGTTTTATAAACTTGCACCATTAACGATTAGGGCCGGGTATTAGCAAGCTAAGCCGCAGCGGCTTGCCGCTGGATTATTTAATAGCGGCTCTGTCTGAGTCATCGCACAAGAGGCCGCTTGATGCATTCCTGTCCCATCGGCGCGCTTTAATGCATAATGAAGGCATCGCGCTCGCTGCGCACACACAACGCGGAGTGTTTGCAGCCTCGTGGGGAGGAGAGCGCGGGGGCGGTGCGGGGAAGCCAAAGCGACTGCCGCCCTCCCTGCTGCCGGCATCTTCCGTAGACGGTGGGACAGTCGCGTGCCACGCGGCGCACGGGGAACCTTCCTCACTGACATCTTGCAGGAGAATACAACATACAGAAACAAAACGATGGGACTAATAAAATGGTTTAGGCGAGTCGCCTTTGGGAAGGTCTAAATCCAGCAGTGTGTTGCTCAGGGCTGTTAATTAAATGGAGGTGGTTAGGGTTGCCACCACGACGGTGGAATATCGCTACAATGCGGGAAGAGGAACACACCGCCGCTCAGACGTCATGTTATTTGCACTCGGGCAAGACCGAATTAAAATAAAAAAAAATTACGTGATTAATTCTGGCATTAAAGATTCCTCTGCTTAGTAGGAGAGGGTTAAATCAGGCGGTGCAATTATAACTGTGATGTTAAATATCGTTCATGTTTAATTTGGTCGCTCGTTCACTTGTTGGAGGTCTTCCAAAAAAATTACGAGATGTGAAATGTGTTTTACACAATGTGCATTGTGTGCGTGAACATACATCACTTGCTCGTTGCGTTATTCTGTTGAGCTAAAAGTGCACTGCAAACGCTTTTAGCGGCAACGAGAGATGAAAAAATGGCAAAACATTTTACGTGGAGCCACTGCGATTGGCAACATCATTTTAAGCGCTGTAGGCAAGCAACATGTTGACGATTGTGTTCGAGGTTCCGCTGGAGACGGCACCCAGCCGCCCGGCACTCGCGAGCGCTGCGCTTGAGATTTAAACATTCCTCCTCTGGTTCGCTGAAAAACCAAATCAATCGCCATGTTTTACCCACGCGACAATTGTATTTGATTGGCGCTGTTGGGCGTCAGAGGGCAGAGATGAAGACCGGCATGAGACCTGCGCGGCGATCCATGCAAAGGGATCGTGAAATGTGAATCATGACTTTGGTCGTGAAAGCCTCTGCGTCAGCTTGAGAATTGGCGACTGCCTGTTCATGCAAACGACGTGCCCACACTACGTTGAGGCTCGTGGAGCGAAATAGATTTGACAAACGAGGCAGGCAACAATACAGAGGAGAAACTGTAGAAATTACTAAAAATTTATTGAATTGCAACCTCGCATCGTTGCAAATCTTTGGATCTCTAAGAGGTCAAATCGTTGAATGTTAATTGCTAGCAAGCGCATACCATTCTCTGTGCCATTAATGAGTCGGGCGGCAACAATACCGTCACACGAAGCCTGCGCAGCGCCACGCGTTCCGCCCCGTGGTTTAATTCCCTCCCGTCGTCTCTCTTCCCAGGTTCTTATCTTAGCCTTGCTCGATTCCACAAATATGTCACGCTCTTGCCTCTGACAATTCTCATAATACTGTTTAGAAACATGCGTTTAAGAGTATTAATCCTGCTGTACATTCCCACGTGATAAGCCACTTCGTTGAGCTATCATTTGGGGCCAGATCACTTCCAAAAAAGAGCTATATAGCTCAGTGGGCCTTACCTGTTTTTTAATGTTTGAATATTTTATAGTTTAATTAACTTGCCATTGCTGATCCTCAAGTGGAATGCCCGCTCGTCTCCACGATCCATCGCGAGCGAGTCGCCACTGTCCCCGTGTTATTTTTGTTTGCTGGGAAGTCGGGGCTCACGGAGCTGCACGACGCAGGAAACACCGCGGCTTGGATCTCCGCCTCAATAATTAATTAGGGACATTATCGGCCGTGATTTTCCCATGCTCATTAGGAGAGAGCTGGCGCCATCGTCACGCACGGTCATCGCCGTGAGACGGCTGTCCTGTCGAGGTGTTCACAACACTTGGTACCGAGACAGAGATAGCCCCCGTTTAGCGTTAGAGAAAGCGCTGTTAGGGAGCACTGGCTCGTTCCTGCTACAGGAATGTGGAATTCCCCAGCACTTGCTCAGGACGGTAACCGTGAGATGGCCACCGCCTCCATGGTCATAGAGCAGGAGATCGCTGTCTGGCTGTTGACTTTGACGATTCAAAACGTGCGCCGTTCGAGGCGATGAGCGGCTATCGCGTGGCGGAGGCATTGAATGCCACGCTGCAATCGGTATTGCGGTGCCCGGCTCGGTGGCGGATGGGGCCTCTGGGCCCCCGTGTCCCCTTGCTCTGCACGAGCGCGAGCAGCTGTCGCACGTTGACAGACCGGTGCGGCGCTCCCGTGGCCGACAAGCGGAGTAACCGTACACTGCGCGCTGCCACAGCGGTGTCGTGGTTAGCACGTCTGTGCTCGCGTCTGTGCTCGATTCGATCTCCCGGCGCGGCAGTTGTAACGAAGGTGCGAGCTTCTCAAATGTCCGCCTCCGTCTACCCGGCGGTATTGATCGATGCACCGCGGTTATCGCCAGGTCGCGTGCGGTGGGGTGTTTCAACCTCTTCCAAAACGCGGGGAAGAATCGGGGAAGAGATGCTCTTTAGAGGTCGCCCTGATGAATGCCCTTCTGCCAGCAGTGGCGTGAGAAAAGAATTGCAGGACTGGACCTTTGACGTGAGCTATCCTGGGGGGCGTGCGCACGTGACGGGGGCTGAGTGGTGCGTGGGAGGCCGGTAGCTGCAGCGGCGTCAGTTGTCTTTATAGTTCCCCTGCGCCTATCATCTCGCCGCACTACAAGTGAGTTACTTCATAAAATACTTTTATATATATATAAAGCATACATCATGGAGTGTGGTTTTTAATTGCGTGCTTACATTAGGGCCCACAAGCGAAATGACTGAGGCCATCTCATGGCTATGTTTTGGTAATGAAAGAACCTCCGTGAAGCTGCATGTGGTTATTGAGATTGTAAAAGGAAACGTCGTGAACATTTCTCAATTCCACCGCTGTGTGCTGCAATGTGCTGCAATGTGCGGCGGTGGGGGCGATTCTCGCCGCGCCCCGAATGCGCTTCCTCCCCGCCCCGCGTTGACATTTGCTCAAAAGACGCTAAACGCCGTGGCTCGTTTGAGCGACGAAGCGTGCGTGATGTGCGCCGACGCGGTTCATCTGGCGGCCCACCCCACGCGCTTCGGTGTTTCTGAAACCCCTCGGCGTCGTCTGTTGAGCGTAAACCTCCTCCTGTGAGCGGATGATCGAAATCGAGATGTGATCGTGGGGACCGCACCTCGCCAAGGCCTTCCACCCTCTGCGCAGTCGACACGCGCTCAGTCCCCCGCCGTTCACCCCGCGGTCTTCCCGCTGGGTCTCCGCACTCGTCAAGACGGATCTGATGCCCGTCCCACCAACCGGCCTTCCGCCATCCCCCGTACGCTCCGCCCAGCGCAACCGTCTCTTGCCCGATCCTGTCTGCACCGCTTTGTGGGGAAGTCGACGATGGTTGCCCTTTGGAGGGACTTGCCCCTGGTATAGGAATGTGGAATTTACACCACTGGCTCAGAACTGTAAACAGGAGATGAGCATCGCCTCAAGGCTCATTGGTGCCGGAGATCAGTTTGACTTTTATGTTTACAACACTTACCTGCCACATTCTCCCCCGGCCTTGCGCTTTGCTGAGTGGACGAGCGAGCCCGGGCCAAGTTTCGGGGACCCGGCCGTAGGGATGAGGGGGTGGGGGGAGGGGGCTAATTGCCTCTGCCCCGCAGCTTTGTGTCGACATGAATCGCTTTCCTATTCCGAGACCCTCCCAATCCCTCTGTCCTCGCCTGTTCCTCAAGCAGCCCCACGGATGTCTTGCAACAGCTGATTTGTAAGAATTGCTGATTACTCTCTTAGGAAGTTCCATATTGTTCTTATTGTTATCCCTTGTTTATCCATAAAAGCCTCACCGAGTTTTCACAGTAGGGGGCGATGTTGCAGTGCGTGATCCCAATTGAGTAAGTTTCAGGTAAAGTTTTAGCATTGGGATTTATGGCCAATACCCGTGACATTTTAGTGTCTTTTCGCTAAAGGAGGAAAACAGAGAAGCAGGAGGAAATCCATGGAGAACATTGGGAGTGATAGAACATACAAAGGCACCTGCATTGCGAATCAAACTCAGGCGATTCTAGCTGTGAGGCCACGAGTGTTACCACTGCGCCTGCTTGCCACCACCCAGACTTGGGACCGCTAGGAGGTTCTAAACGAGGTCTCTGTTCGTCTGAGGCAGGGCGTCGTGGCTTTGCTTCCTCTTTGTGTGCTCATGCCACGAGTGGGTGGCACGGACAGCGCTCCCATGATGCACGGCAGTTGCATCAAAATGTCCCCCGGTAATGATGCTGAGCCGGGTAAAAAATTTTCTGCGAGATATGGTAAAATAAAAATATGCTCAAACCTAGTTAAACAAAAGTGTTTTATTAATTATGATTCAATTATAATTGCTACATAAGTCACGTAAGTAAAAATAAAACGTTGAAAATT